ATGCTGCGTGTGCTACCGTGGAGGAATTAGTAGAAAGAAGAAGAAATTCTACCGTGTGTCCGTGAAATTCTAGCACCGTGAATATCGTGTATTCTCGCAAAATCTCGTCCAGAGCGTGCAGAATTCTCTCTCCGTTTGCGAAAGAAATAGAGAGAAGAAGAAAAAGGAGTGAATATCTCGAGCGTGGCTCTGTGGTCGCCTTCTCGACAAGTGGCATCGCTATTGTGCACGCACACACACGTACACACACATACAACACAGACACCCCTGCACACTAATCGTCTGGCTGACTTCCGGTCCGCTGGAGCACCGTTCCTCACACTATTCCCCCCTTAAGGGGCGAGCCTGCACCGCTGTCTTAGCCCGAAACACACAGAAAAGAGAAAAAAGAATGGTGGAAACGTTTAGCGCGGATCGATAGGGGTTTTTTCTTTTTTTTTTGCTCCGGATCGATAAAGGACGATGCGATAGGACGGACGGTTGTAGAATCTTTCGTACGAAAAAAAGGAACAACAGATTCACCAAGATTGTACGAAGCAAGGTTTCTCGAGGATCGTTATTCTCCGACGAAGACTATCGAGACAGGCTTTTAAGTATTAACGTTTCTATATTCTCAAGGAATCAAGATGACTCTATTTCGAACAGGCTAAAGGATCGGTATTTTCCTTTCGTTTCTGAGGAATCTGACGCAGATAAGTATCAATTAACGCAGGTAGAGGATGAGTATTTCTCTTATTGCGGAGGGTTTGCAACGGGTGTTGGAAATAAGAAAAGATCCGAGGATGATCCAGGTGTTTCTCTTTCTACGGGGGTTGTTAGGGGGATGAGAAAAGCGGAAAGGGGGTTGTCACGAAAATGGACGATAGAGAGAGGTAAAACGGTAGAGGGTTAAGGATGGTTTAGTATTGGTTAGGTAGATAGTGGAGAAAGAGAGGAGAGGAAACGAAACGTTTTTGGATCTACTGTAGGGAAGGGGTACTACCACCATACGCCCGGTCCAATGTCAATGTCCGACGGTGGACGTAGGTACAACGGACCCCACAACGGGCACCACAACATGGCCGCGATGACCATCGAATATAATGGTCATCATCCACCGCGAGAGCCGCGAAAAGAGGAGAGCACTCTCGTCAGACGGAGCTTCCGAAGGAGCGGCGACGAATGGCGCGCCGACAGTAGGAGGTGCGTGTCACTATTGGCGATCGTGCGTTCGTCTCTCTACTAGACTTTTCTCTTTTCTCGATCCACGTATTTTCTTTTTCCTTTCTTTTTTTTTTTCTTTCCTTTTCGTCTCATTTCTTTCGTCGGTTGTCCTGGGTTTGCTGGTCTCGATACGTGGATTCGTTCGAGATTTGTTTTTACGTGGTCCTTTTCTCGGCGGTCACACAAGAATGTTTGTAATTATTCTTTTTTTAATTTGAGCCTGTTCGTTTTTGGGTGAGGTACATTTTGTGAAGAGACTAGTTGGGAAAATGTATGGATACCGTGGGAGGGAAAGGGTTAAATATTTCTGTCAAGAGAATTGATCGAATTTTGGAGTGAAGTTCAAAGTGAATTGATACTAAAAAAGATGAACGAATGGTCTGATCTTGTGAAAAGTTAGAAGAATATTGCGACAAAGGAGAAGTTCAACAGAATAGTACGTAACAAAAATTTTGATCGGTACATACGGACAATACAATTTATATTTAATTTCCTACTCTCAAATTATACATTCTTGTGTGACAAACGCCAGTAAATTCTCCTACCATCCGAAACGGCCATTTCTGGCAAACTCGGGGCCGAAGATCGTCATTGGAGCGTAGAAATAGGACAGCTCTGTCGCGACGAGTTTTCGAAAGAAGCAAGAACGACATCGTTGACAGAACACGCAAAAAAAAAAAAAAAAAAGAAAACTCAGAACACGCGCCACCAAAAAAAGAATATCCAAAACACCAACGCAGACACATAGACACACAGTAGCAGGTCTCGTATCTCTGTGTATGTGGCGTGTCCATGGCAGGTTCACGGAGAGGAGGGGGAAAAAGACAGTGCGATTTGACGGTGGGACCAATGTCGGCGGCCCTCAGGAGGATTGGTCTTGGGAGGCCGATCGGCAGGGTAGCCAAGACAGCGCGACCAAAGACTCTGGAATAGACACCTCTAGCACGTTCACGAGCAGTGAGGACAGCAACAGGGGCGACTTGCCCAAGGTACGGGCCCGTTACTCGAATCACGTGTCACAACGACACACACATTTTTCCACGGGAATATTTGCTTTTCTCTCAAAAACAAAAAATTAAAAAATCAGAAACGGCACACAGGTTATATAAAAAGAAAAAAGAAACAAATCGTCAATTATAGATTAGAGATCTTTTCTCGAGCGAATCATGGCCAGGCTGTTTGGTCGCTACATTAGGAAAAGTGAAAAAAAAGATAGAAACGAAAGTAGCCAGTGGATGTTCGAGTAAAAGGGGTCTCTGTCGCGCGAGCGAAATGACACGCTTGTGAAAAGATTTTTTTTCTCCGCGATTCGCGGCTGCGATACAATGGCGCCGCTACGTTCGCGGGTCTCTGTCGTCCAAAGTGGAATACGGTTTTTCTTTCCATTCTTTCCACCGTACCCTTGCTTCTACATATTATTATAGCTTTTAGTGGAGAGAGACACATAGAACGAGGATTACATTGTCCGTGGTCTGTTTTTAGTGCCTGATATCTGATTGGTTCATGTAACTATAGCCTAGTAGTTTTTTTGTTAGCAACGTTAACCCTTTCGTTCAAACAATTGTAGAAATGTGCATAATATTCGTACGAAGCTTTGTTCGTAGCAAACGTGAAATTGAATCGAAGAATGCTCAACGAAAGGGTTAACCGCTTGACGATCGTCGAAATGCGAGCCGAAGTTTCAGGGAGGGAAAAGATGAACCCGTTTCGTCCATTCGCGGTTTCACTTCAAATCTTTCATCTCTCTCTCTCTCTCTCTCTCTCTCTCTCTCTGTACTACATGTATGTGTGTTTTATTTCCTTCTCTGTTACTTTCTCTCTTTCTTTTTTTCTCAGTCACTCCTTTCAACATTGTGAAACTTCGTGTGACGAAGAAACCTCTTTTGCTCGATTCACCCCCAAACTTCGAGCTTGTGAAGGCTTTCGTGCTTGTTGGAATAATTTCGCGTCACCAGTTCTCTATATATGTATATGTATACATATATACATATATAGTTTATACGAAAATCTGGTTGTTGTTACTGCGTGCAAGTCCTTCGGACCTCCCTTGTCTCGAGGCGTCTCAATGAAACATCAACGAGAGAGAACGCGTTAACGAAACGGGAGTGTGCATTTAACAAACGTTCCCGACAAAAACACATAGTTGATCGCACCTGATCGCATGAGTCTTGGACTGATAACTCACCATTCAACGAAGCTCTTGGGCCTCGTCCCCTTTAAGAAAAAAAAAAAGAAACGAAAACAAACCTCCTCCCTCCCCCAAGTGATTCTAGCTAATAAACTTTAGATTAGGATGCTTTCTCCGCGAGCCTCATTATCTCTCTCTCTCTCTCTCTATCTCTCTATCTCTCTCTCTATCTCACATCGTCTCATCTGTATTTAAAAAAAGAATTAACCCATACAATTATATATATATATTACATTCTTCTGTTCGAATTGTAAATGATACGACTACAGTTCGAATTTTTTTTTCGAAACGACGAGAAAGAAAAAGAAGATTCATTCCTCCTCTCTCATCAAATCGTTCATCAACGGCATCGATCTCATTCGATATTCTCTCTCCTGGTTTTATCGATCGATTCGCAGATTCCACGACACTCTATATAGCTTGAGGAGATATACGTTTTGCTAAACATCGCGATATACATACACCACCGGACTCTCATCCCCAAAAGCCTCACATCGCCACTGTTCATTCACCACACGATTACATCCCCGCACGGGCCACGATATATCGTTTCGCGTTATTAAAACGGCCAGAGAAAAGGGGTTGGAGGCGAGAGGGTTGCGTTTAATCAAGTTTTCACGGAACAGACTTGGTTGGGCGAAGTTTGCAATTGGGAATGTCGGTGTTAATGGAAAATACGGTTTTTGGATGTTTCGCAGTTTGCACCCTCCCGCCCCTCTTTTCGTCGACGATTCTTTCGTTTGGCCGCGGTTAGAGCGCAAAAGTGCAACAATGTATAGATTGATTTGGTGCTTCGATTTTCGTGATCTTTCACCGAGAGGATGGGATTATGATTCTTTGTTTCACAATTTTTCAATTTTTCTGTTTCTTCGTATTTTCTGATGCAGGTAAAATGTGATAAGAGAAAATGTTATTGGGAATAATTCCTAATAAAAATTGTCGATAATTCCTAAAACGATCAAATTCGAGGGAAATCGTTGAAAAATTTAGAACACTGTTAGATTAACTATATTTCCCAAAGAAATCAAATTCGAAGAAAATTTAAAACACTATAAATTACCAAATCAATTACGAGGTGGATTACAGTGATCGAATAATCGATAATTCCGAAAGAAACAAAAAATTGAAGGAAAAGTCCCAGCCTATCGATTGGAGATCAAACGAAGCAATTGTTATTTAAAAGAACGTCGACACGGTCGAGGGAAACGAGAGTGATCGCGTGAAAATCCAGCAAACAGGGACCACCATCATAGTTCGTCATTGTCGTTTCCGGGCGAGCTTGGTTTTGCAGCATTCGGGCCGCTGCTTTTTCCGATAGCCTCCTTGCCGGGCGTATTTGTCAATTTGCTGGCGTCGGGACGGCCGATGGCCGACCACGGTCCGATTATCCGTTATTGTTATTACACGACCCCGTAAATCGGCTTCGAATTTCGATCCGCGCCGGCCATTCTTTCGAATACTTCCTCTCTACGTCTACGGATGTCTTCTGTTCGAGGTTGTTCGAACGGAACCGACCGTGGAGGCGTCGCGACGCCCCGATTAATCGTTCGTTCCCGTGTCAAATTCTCGAGAATTAAAGACGATCCAGGATTTGAATCTTTTCGTAGGGACACCTTACGAATTTCCCCGCGAATTTCAGGTTGAAGTAAAAATTTGGAAGAAGAGGGAAAGACCGACGCATAATTTGATGCGAGAGAAATATCGCGGATAAAATTAGAGCATCGAAATCAGATTCTACGAAATAGGAGAAATATCTCCTCGGTCTACGAATCGCCACTTTGCTTCAATTAATTAAAAGAGGAAAGATTAAACGAGTGGATATTTGGGCAAAAATTGAGAGAAGAAATTAGAGCTCCACTCTCAGCGGGGATCTCCTCGGCGAAAGAAGGGAGAGGCTTTTATTGATTTGGGAATGTAAATGTACAGGGTGTTTCAAAGTTGGTCGGTTAAAACGGGCGAGAATTACAAGCGCTGAAAGCGCGATAAAAACGCGATTTCGGTGCTCGCCGCGAGGTCGAGGTGATTCTTTAAAAATTCCCGGTGCCGCAACGAGGCGAACGCGGGGCGAATTGCGGGTGAAACGCGGTGTGACCGAGTTCCCGAGGCCCGTTTTTCGTCCAACTGCTAAAATATATCTTTCGATCGTTCTCCTTTAGTTTCTACAATTACCCCACCTTTTTCTCTCGCGTCGTCTTCATCTCGTTGCCGATCATTCCTACCAGCTATTCCCCCGTGGTTCTATCTGAAACTGGAACGAACGATCAAGGGAGAACGTAGAGACGCGGTAGATCCGTCGAAATCGTTGTCCATTTTACTTTTCGCGGTCATCACGAGATCACATCGGGTTCGATGAAATCGAGGAGGAGAAGAGGTACACAAGGCCGTGCTCCAATTATGCCAGGCAAATAAGCAAGATTAAATTCGAGCCGGGTAAACGGACGGCAATCGAGCAATTTATCCGGTTGTAGGTCGTCTTGTTGCGTTATTTCAACCTAGAATCAAGATCGACCCCCTCTTTCTTCTTCCGGGATCGGTTGAACGGGCGATTCTTCTCTCCCCTCTCTCCCGCCGTTGCCGCGAAAAAATCACTGTCGACCAGAGAGATAAGCGGATAAGGCCGCTGGAAATTGCCTCGCGATCGGGAATAACGATCGCAGGAAATTAAATCGACCATTCTTTCGCTCCTGTACACGCGTTTCATTGTTGGACAAGACGTTGTTCCGTTTTCGGTGACGTTGATGTAACGAGATGATCAGTTTTGCCGCGTCGGATGTTTCATTACGGTGTAAAACAGGTTCCACCGATTGATTATTATACATTTTCCAGTTTGCAAGATTTTTTCGGCAAAGTTTTACCTATCAGTTTATAGACTAAAGAATTAGATTTGTGATTTATACGTTCACCAACACTGGAATATTAGTATTAATTTTATAGAACATAAATAACATTTGTATCCTTTTTTATTAATTTTGTTAAGCTTAAAATTTTGAAAATTGTCCATTTTAAGATAAAAATAAATTTCTTAAATCCAACGATATTTTCCAAGTAAAAATATAAAAAAATTGATCTCCCTTGAAACTCGCCATATTAGTATTCCAGGGTTAAAACCGTTCTTCCAAAGCGAAGCGTTTAATGATAATTCAAGAAAAGCCTGTACATCGTATAATCATCGGCATTTCCATTGAACATTTTTCAACTCGCTCATTATTCCTCATTATTTGGTTGGAAACGATGCTTGGACAAATCGAGATTCGCTCGTAACGTGACGACCGCCAATCCACGGAGGGCTGGACGATTTCACGAGCCGGTACCGATCCGAAACGTCCAATTAAAAGGGCCGAAAGGATGCCAGGCTGTCGAGAGAGGCGTACCTGTTTCATAATTAATCGAATTGGAGCACGGCCAAAGGATATCCGAAGCGACGGCGAGTCTCGACGACCTCGTTAGCTCTCGTCGATCGGTTTCGCGGTGTCTTTTGATAAATCCGCGACTTCGAGCGTCCCGGAAACCGAAAACGGATGTAATTGGCTGCGCTCGTCGACTCTTCACAAACAGGAACCAGTTTCTAAGCCACCCACCTTAACCTCTAATCTTCGTGTGTCTTGAAATAAAAGAATAAAGCTCGCGAGCAAAAGAAAGAATTGCAAAACTCGCGCGTTTCACTTGATAACGGAGAACGCGAACGCGTTTCGAGCAAGCACTTCCGGTTTTTTCTTTTAACGAGCGTGTACTCTCCCCGCTGTGGAACTTTCGAACCGCAGAAGTTTAACTTGCCCGGTGGAATTATTTAATTACAACTATTTTCCGTGGTCGAGCGAAAAGAAAAGCTCGGTTCTTTCGGATTCTTTAATTGGGCCAAGGAGGAGGAAGATGGGAAGAATGAAAGATAAACGTGACACGGTTCGAGCAGCCAATTATATCGAGGTTAGGCAAAGTGTCTCGATAGATTAAGACTCTCTCCTGTAAAGACGCGATTAAAACCGAGCATATTTTATCGAATAATATCGCCCCCTATTGTGTATCTCTGTGCGGAGATACTTGATACATCTGCGAAATCAATGTGCCACGACTCACTCGGATCGACACGATCAACTGGAAACCGGAAGGAGGCGACCCCTCTCCCTAAAGTAGATCCACCAAATGATGAATCGAGTCGCTCTTCGAAAGAGAAACTCTCACTTCCACGGTGTTGTTACTTTTTTTCTTTTTTTTTCCTTTTTTTTTTTTAACAATCACGTCGTTGTTTGCATGCCTGGATATATATATATACCTTGAGGACCTCGAACATCGGACGTTCGAAGGGACAATTGATTGTCGCTTTTCTGCTCGTTCTTACGTATACCGGGTGTTTTCTTTTAAACTAGCGGCAACCTGACAAAGGGTGAATCTACGTGAAAGAATGAATGGAAAATGTGGAGTAATATTTTTTCGTACGAAGATCTATTTCTGATTGTATATCAGTGCAAACTATCATTTATAGAAAAATGAAGAATGAAATAAAAGTAAGTAAAGCAAAAACTAGGGAACAGCTCAAAGAGAAAATTGTTCTTCCATTTAAACCTTTGAAACCATAAAATACTCTAAGGAACATTCGCAGAACTCCAGTTGCACGACTTATCCAGAAACGAAGCTTCGTCTGAACATTCACGCAGATTCACCCCTTTTCAGATCGTACCGCTAACTCAGAAACACCTTGTATACACATGTATATATATACGCAACAGTTGGAGACGCATGTGGCAAAGCATGAACCTAGTGACTGTTTCATACTGTTTTAGAATTGTACACGATCATTAGATGTACGGTGTAGCGTGTAGCTTCCTCCTTATTGTCAAGCTTGATCGTTTAAGCATTCCTACTTCCACCCTTCATTTGGACACGTAGACTCACGTCACTCTGTAGACACGATCTATACTTATAGAGGATGCCTGAACCGATATTTCGATCAGAGTTACGTTCCAATTCGTAGATTCATAACCCTTTCGTTACGAACGACACTTAGCGCAGTAACGCTTCTCTCCCTTCACATATCGAATAATCGAACGTAATATACAGGGTGCTTAACTTACAACGAACGTCGAAATTATTTCCGCTCCTCGGTAGTAGCGAAAGGGTTAACGTCGTCAGTCCCGCAGAAATTCTCGTTCGAGTATCCTCTACACGCGCGCATCGCATCGCCAGGAAGGCTACCATTCTCTTCAGCTTCTCTTTCATCGGAATCTCCTGCGACAGAAATATCCTGCGACCGCATGATTAACGAAACCATCGTATAAATCCAGTAAAATCCAACGGCCGCAGGATATTCTTCCAGGAAGCTCAGCTTGAAACCATCAAAAGTCACGAGTCCGTTTCACGAATTACTTTCTCATAGAGATCTATTCCCTTTTACGCGAGGAACTTGGAAATCGATCGGAAAATTTCTGTCTGTCGAACGTTCAATTTAAACGATCCTCGCGTATGCAATCCGATTTCCAAAATTCTTCACGTAACACACGAAGTCTTTTTCCGCCGCCTTTCATCTCACAAAAAAAGCGAACCGCGAAAACGATAAGCGTATCACGATGAAAGGAAACAAACCAAAAAACCCGTTCTCCGCGCTTCGTAGCATCCGATACCCTGGCAAGAGAGCAGAGACGGCCAGAAGATCATTGGCCGCATGGTGTTGCAAAAGCAACTTATCCCTGAGCCAGGAGTACCAGGCTCCGACAGCAGTAGTAGGATACTCGGGCTGAAGGTGGTCGGTGGTCTGATGATGGAGGACGGCCTTAAGCGCGCCTTCATCCAAAAAGTCAAGAGCGGTAGCACGGCTGACATCGAAGGTCAACTGAGACCCGGTAAGGACGAGAAACCATCCGTTTCTATGGTGGCAGCTGAATATATCAGCTGCTCAAGGTCATCTCACCTCCGTCGCTTTTCTCGGTTCCATCTTTATCGTTCGATGGTTAAGGAATTTCAACGTTCCACCTTTAAGCTACACCTGCTATACTCTCACAAAATATACGACGAAAGTCAGATAAGATAAACATTTCTACGAACTGTTTTTATCATTTATGCGTGCTGAATCCACCACTGAAACTATGTCCAGATACTACAGCACACCCTGTACATACAGGTCTCCTTCGGTAGGGTGAGAAAAAGCGACAGAGGGGGAATGACCTTGACTGACCAATATATTCGGTTGCTACTATAGTCCCACTTTCGGTCGCCGCATCTCTCAGCTTCGCCCTGCGAAACTATCGCAAATAAATCCCTCCACGTTTTTGGAGGCGATCCAATAGGAACCGACAGAACATTGGACGATTTCAGGTGACGAGGTGATCATGTGGAATGGCAGGTGCCTGCAGGGCAAGAACAGTCGCGAAGTTTCCGCCCTGATCGCCGAGTCGAGGCAGGACCATCAAGTGGAGTTGGTCGTCTCGAGGAATTTGTCGTCGATGACGGAACCAATGATGTTACCTACGTCCGCGACGTCTATGCCGCCGAGGAAGTTCGTCGTGCAGAGCCAATGGAAGCAGAAACACGCGAAGACGATATCTGGTCCTCAGCAACCGCATCCAAAAGGTGACTATTCGCTTCGTTGCTTCGTCTCGTTCCTCCCCATGTCCTTCTTTTTCTTTCTCTCTCTCTCTCTCTTCTATTTACATCTCTACTATTGTTACTACTACTATTTTACGTTCTCTCTCTCTCTCTGTCTCTCTCTCTCTTTCTATCTATCTACCTCCATTCTCCCGTTTATATTGTACCACTACTTTGCGTTGGTTACACACGCTACAGGATCTGTTCTCAGGACCCAGTTCTCTCTTCTTCTTCTTCTTCTTTGCTTCTTCACTGTCTCCCTTCTTGCCCGGCCCGAGTACATGCTACATGTACCTTGTACTTTCTCGTAGAGTATTACTTCTGATAACACACACGCTCGCGAGGCAGCTGACGGACATGATATACATGACGACGTAGTTCGAGCCGTCCCGCGCGCGTTTTTTAGACGACAAAGGTAGACAGAAGGTAGACAGCCGGTAGCTCAGACAGCTACTCGGTCCCGGTAGAGATCACACTTAGGATGTGCTATGGGAGTTTTGCTGTGAACGAGTAGTGGTTTGAGATTCATTCAAGGAAACGCGTGTGTTCGTTTTTTCAAAACGAGTACGCGTTTCCTTTGTAATTTCTCCAGGATGATTGCTGAACGATGGAAAGAAGAAGTTTTTATCGCAGATACGTATACTACTCGTGGCGGGGAATTTTTGAAGACAGTAGAAAGAGAACGATCGAAAATTTTCTGCCAAGGGTGGTACGATTCGAAGGATTCGAAGAATCGATGGATGTAAGTGGAATAGATCGTTCAGCAAGCCAGCCTCAAGTAGTAGAAAGTAGAATAGAGAGTTCTAGAGCTAATTTAGAGAGATACAATTTGCTAATGTCAGGGAAATTTGAAGAGAATTTGCAAAATCGATACGTCCCCATTTCTATGCTATATCGTAGTAGATATAAGTACAGTTAAGAGCACTGATATCGACGCTATATGATTTTTCGTATTCCAGGTCTTAAGAAATGTATTCTATGGGGTAGGCCTGAAATTTCTTAAATTTCTCGATCCTTAAATAATATCGGTGTATTTATGGTCTTTTTTATCACTTGTCCTCTTTTCAATCTTTCCTCCACCCCCTGTCTTTTTCTTCTATTTTTTTTTTCTTTTCCCTTAAACAATCTCGAAAGATTTACGAGAAATGGTAAACTATATATACACGTATAATTTGCCATTTTCTCGAGTAAATGGAACAAAGGAGCAACGATTAGTCAAGTATCGAGTGATCGATGCTTAGACGAGAGAACCATTATTACGATTGTTACTCCGCTTTGTGTATACCGTATATATCGATGTTAACGTAGAACAGTAGTAGACAGTAGTGCCAATGCACCCCCTGCTAAAACACCGCCGTTTCTTTTTTACGATACATAGTATTTATGGGAGCAACAACTTGAAAAAAGTGTCAATCATTCTTTTGTCTGTGTCTTCCCCCCAAACCTGATTTCATCACGAAGGACCATGCACTCGAAATCCTTCTGTGTATGTAATGCGACCCATTATTCTGCGACCACCCTTTATGTAGACTCTTCGAAAGCTGCACCATTATAATTAATACGGATTACGAGGAGGAAAAAAACAGAAACTGTAGGCGTCACACGTTTCCTCGATCAATTTTCGAGCGAATTAAAAGTGAACGAAGGAGGAAAAGTATGCGTTTTAATGTCATCTCGCTGTCTCTCTGTACTCTGTGTGTAACGGAAACAGAGACGAGGAAATTTTTTTTTTTTTTCGTTACTAATAACCATTATCTGCGACGAGAATTTTTCTCGGTTACAGGTAATTATTATCGACGGCGAAAGTATTTTTCGTTGCCGATAACCTACGTCGATTATGAAAATTTCTTTTCGTTTCTGATAACTAATATCGGTGACGAAAAAATTACTAAATAACAATAAAAAGGAAACGTACATATTTTTGACTTTACACGAGTAACTAAACAAATCTTTTCGTCGCTGATATTGCTTATCAATAACAAAAAAAATTTCACGATCGGTATAAGCTATCAGAAATGAAAAAAAAAATTGATTTTTGCCATCGATAACAGTTATCGGTAATGAATAAAAAAAAATTTAAACGTTCGTACTGTTTATTCGTAATGAAAAACATGTAAGTGGAGAAAATAATTGTTATACTATAACTTGTTTGTATTAAGGTTTATAACAGTTATGGTCTCTGGTAGAGAGAGAAAAAAGGAAATTTGTTGGAAATTAATCGTTGTGTGAAGCAGCTGTCTGATTTTGAGACTAGACACGTCCAGAAGGACCCGAAACCGAGGAGAAACGTTCAACATTCTCTGGTCAGTGTGTACATGCACACCTCCACCTGCCATCGCGGGGCTGCATCGTCGAAACGCGTCCGCGAAAACTTTTAGTGCATCCAACCTGCACTCGATGCATCTACAGGGACGCGTTATTTTCACTATGACCAGCACGAGAGTATACCCTGCACGTGAATTACGATATCTCCCGAGGATATGGATGTATCTGGCCCCGCAAATTGCATTACACACCCTGCTGGTGGAGAGGGAAGTTACGGGTTTTCGGCGAATCTTACAGCGATTCGACACTCACACCAGTGTAGAAAACACGTAGAAAAGCTCACCCTGGAGAACTTGTAAATTCTCGTGGAAACAAATTTACGAGCATCCCGGTTCACGTCGAATCGCTGTTATTTAAGAGTACAGCTAACCCTCGATTTACATCGGTAATTGCCTTCGCGTGCATAATCAACGAAAAATAAATCTTCCAATCTAATTTTCTGCATTCCAAAATTTTCACTGTCGAAGTGAAACACAGAGTGAAAGATTTTCACTGTCGAAGTGAAAAACAGAGTGGAAAATTTTCACTGCCGAAGTGAAAAACGAAGTGAAAAATTTTCACTGTCAAAGTGAAAAACGGTGAAAAATTTTCACCGTCGAAGCGAAAAACAGGATAATCAGTACCCTATGCATAATGAGTAAAAAGTAAAGTTTCGAGTGTCACAAATTTTGTAAATTTTCTTAATTTCGGAAAATTCTCACGAAGAACGTCGATAGGGAGAATCGCGTTGATTTGCAAAAGAGAGGGATGAGGGGAAAAAATTGGGAGGTTTCTCTGTGACAGAGAGAACGTGCGATTCGAGGGTTAGGCGTATAATCCGGCAGGTTTTCCGTGGCCGCGGGCCGTTTCCGTGGCAACAATTTATCGAGGATCTCCCCGGTGTAAATTCCACGAATTTTCTTGCACTGTCGCCCGGCTCGAACGTCACTCAATATTCCCCGGCTAACGCCGCCACACAGTGTTCCAAGATTCGGTGTCCTACTAAGGGATCGTCGAACCCCACGTCCTCGTTTTCGACGTTTTACGACACGGATGTTGTGTACGCCTTTTGTGTGCCGCGCGATACGAGACACCCAGTGCCAGCATACACACGATACGCGTCTCTATGTGTAATTATGTACGGGGTGTTCACATCTAAACGATCCGCACGATTTTTCACAGGACGATGAAAAATATTGTTTTCTCAAAAGTGAAGTTAAGGTCAACTCGAGTCTTTTAAACGAAACAATATCATTTTTTAAGGTGAATAGAATCAGCGTGACACTTTTAAATCTACTGTTAATTATTTTTATCGCATTTTTGCGAAGGACTGAAAAATCTTACGAATTGTGGAACGATCAATAATATTTTCAATCCACTTCGATAATATTTATATTACATTACAATATAGTACAAAATAATATTAATATTGCATTTTGTATTAAAATATTATTGTCAATATCTCCACCACTTACCAATATTAAAACTGAAATTTCAAAATATCTAGACGTTCAATTTTCAATTTCAACATCGAGCACACATGATCAATAATATTCTCAACAATTTTCCGGTATTAACGATATCATTGATCATGTACAGTCCCCTTCACAGTGAACACCCTGTATACCCAGAAACACAAAACTGCCCATACACATCCACGACACTTTATTTCTATTTTTTTATTCTCTCTCTCTCTCTTTCTCTCTCTCTCTGTCTCTATGAACACCAAGTGTTGTATATGAAACAAATTTTTGGTAACCGTTACTCAGCACCTGCCAGGTTCACCAAAGAGAAGATCTAAAGTCTAGCCTTTGCACTTGAACGATCACTTGCAGAGTTATACGACGCGAGGCGCGAGAAACCTTCGGTTTTAGTGACCGCGCCAGGCTCGCCAGATCTGCCCGGTCAGGGAACAGGCAGACACATGCAGCACCTATCCTGTAACGCGAACGTCGGAGGTAATCTCCAGGTGAAGCTGAGCTTCGATCCTGTGGCGCTCAAGCTGATCGTCACGTTGATCTGCGCGGCTGGGCTCACGCCCAGGAGCAACGGCCAACCCAGAAATCCCTACGCCAAGATCTTCCTGCTTCCGGACAGGAGGTGAGTGAGCTCGTCTGGCCCAGAAACCGTACACGCTTTGCTTTCTTTTTACTTCTCTTTTTCTCCAGTGATTCGAAATTATTCACCGAGAGCAAGTGTTTTTATTTTGGTGAAAATCTGCTCCTGAGGAGATTCTGGTTCTTGTATCTACAAGAATTAACGACTCTGTCGCGATCAGTTCAGAACTGAATTAAGCGTTTTCAACGTATTAATTATTGTCCACCGTAACGTCTTAATGGAACATTTTTAAACGCAGTTTAGCATGAAGCGTGTTCATCAATTTGGCTCAGATCCTTCGAGGCACTTTGCATACTCAAGCCAGAATCTCCAAAGTAGCATGACTCATCATACTCTGAAACGCTGTCCAAAATCAATTATCATTCGGTGCATAGCTTTTATGGGCCACGAGCGTGCGTTCCAAAATCGCGAGCAAGTATCCTGGCACTTCCTCGATGCGAAAAGACCCGAGTATATGTATCGCGCAACAGAGAAACCGCGACTGCTACAACAACGTAACGCGTTTATGCGCATATCGTGGCGACGATGTCGAAGCGAAAACTGTCCTCCCCCTAAGATGAATCATTTCCCAAGGAAACGTGTATTCGCGAGCCAAGAAGATAGCCATTCTCGCAGTTTGGCCTGCTTCCCTTTGGCCGAACGTTCCTATTTTTCTCCAACCGGTCTAGAAAAGCCATGGTCGTCGTCTTGAACGCTCGACATCGATCGCTACGGGTATCGGCCCCAATTTACGCGTCGAATGGCATCGTATCGAAGCGTAACCTTGCCGCTGATCGGTTGTGTGCAGCGAGAAGTCGAAGAGGCGTACGAAAACTCTGGCGAACACCAACGATCCAATGTGGAATCAGACATTCGTCTACGACGGGAACGAGCCAGAATTGGGTAAACGAGCGTTGGAGATCACCGTTTGGGACTACAGGAAGTACGACACGAACGATTTCCTCGGCGAAGCTGTTCTGGAGTTAGCGACAGTACATCTAGACGAAGAACCGGAGTGGCATCCGTTGACTGGACACGGGGAACGTCATCATCACAGCATTGGGTATGTGAGAAAGCTGAGCTCGGTAGACTAGGATGTTTCTCCACTTCTTTCATGCCTCTGAGATGAGACGCAATCGCTACCAAAACGCATTCGTTCGCTTGTTGCAATGAGAGACCTAGGAGAGATTTTCTTAGAGATTGGTGACTGACGAATACTCTGCGCTTCCTTAGTCGCTGAGAATGCCTTTAAATGAATCGAGTAACCAGCCGAGTCTTCTAGAGCTTCGTATGAGAAGGGCTAGAGTTCCCAAGTAGGCGTGCAGCCATTATTGTCGGTGTATCTAGGCTCAGGGAGAAGGAATCCGTCGACGGTCACATTTAGCATCTCTCTTATTTTTCTCTCTTTAGTTTATATACGTATTACGTACATGTACATACATAGATGGTACCACTCATAATCGTAATGGCGTGTCTGTGTTACCTTTTTTGTTTCTAAACGCGTAGACGAACGATAAAGAAAAGAAAGAAAAAAAATAAGAAACGGGAAAGAACGATAAGATAATTCAGCGGAATGATAAATACTAAGGATACTCATCATATATACGATATATATATATATATATATATGGTACGTGATTCGTTGATTCGTTTCACTGCGGCTTCGTTCAGCTGATTCTTTGAATCCGTTCGGCTGGATTCTTTTTCACCTAAGGCGCTAGCGAGCAAGAGCGTAGCGTGAGATCTAAATTTCGCGTTGCACAGATACTATCAGGAGCCCGATGACATGGCGATAATACCGGTGGACTGCCATCTCAGTCCACCGTCGACGACGTCGCGGCAGAGCGACTCTGACCCTTCCGAATGCGATATCATGGACTGCGACGTCTCCAGGGAGGAAAGGAGAACAGCTGACGGTGCCAGTATAAGCAGTATCGGCAGTTCCTCCAGGTAAGAGCATCCTTCGAAAATCTCTCTACGCCGCGCTCCCTACGAGACTCTTTATCTCTCTCTCTCTCTCTATTTCTCTCTCTTACTCTCTCTTACTCTTTATCTCTATCTCTCTATCTCTCCTACTAAACCAACCAAACAACTAACTAACCTAACCGAACCAATCAACCAAGAAAAAGAACCCCCCTTGAAACGATGATACGATATATACATATATAAAAGTCGGGGGTGTGAGAGAAGAGGCCGTGCTATTTTCACGGCCAACGCGGCGCAAATATCGTCCATCGAGCATCGAGAGACACGACCCTAGAGAGACAGACACCCGGGCCACATCGTCTTCGTCGTCGTCGTCTTCGTGGGAGAGAACATCGCGTACACGCACACCGCACGTTTACGATATAGTAAGGCGCTGACTATTAGACGTTACGTACTACTTACACACGCTATGCAGGCAGGAAGTTTGAGACCGCCTCCTTTGTGTTTTAGTTTTTCTTTCGTTTTCTTTTTTCTTTTCTTTGGTTTAGTTTGATGAACAGATGCGATTAGTTGTGCAGTTGCGCGTAGGTTATGGTTTTGTATGTTTCTTTCTTATAATTTCTCCTTTTTTTCTTTCTCTCTTGGTTACTTTGCATGTAGAGTAATGTGCGCTTTAGAGAAAGTGGTCTGTAGCTTCGTTTGGTTCGTCAGTCGAGTAATTTGGATTCTTCGAGTGGAAGTTGGAATTAATGGTTTTTATCTTCAGTGGGGGGAAAGGAATGAGACCTCTGGATACAACTAATCCTCGATTCACAGGTGTAAGTTAGAATTGTATCGAAGAATTCAGTTTTAAGAATTGCAGAGTCGTGGTTGATCGACGTGTAGAAAGATCAGTTCATCCCTTTTACGAAGAACAGTATATCCTCCAAGACTTATCTTATTATTCTCAAGCAAAAATCAGTTTCTCTTTCTAATTCTTCCAGCTATATAATTTTGATCATGTAACCGCGTTATCAGGCTTAACCCTTTCGCAATCTAATAAACTCGCGAAGAATATAGGTGAAACGACCTCAGAAGAATATCTTTCCTACCTTTCTCATTGCTGAAATTACTTAAATTTTCAAGGAATTTTTCAAATTTCACCAATTGCCTCACGCGTGACGTAACCCAAAATATAAAGCGGTTCAAATTCTCAGACAGCAGACCCAGAGGGTTAAAGTGAAAGATAGCAGCGTCTAATCTACCGATCTTCGTTAACTTCGAGGGTTAGTTGTACCCCGTGAGAGAAACATCGGCAAGAACAGTCGACGGGGTGGTTTCAAACTATCGTGCACGATAGCGTCGCGCGCTCAAGAGGACGCCGCGAGAATTAGACGCGCGCGAATCGATCGGCACGGACCGAAGAATTTGTCGAGGAGCAAGAGTAGCTGTGTCGTGCAAGGTTCCACGCGGCTCGAACCTGTGTGTGCACTTCGTCAGGAATTAATGGTACTTAACGGGAGCGGCGCGAGGGTGTCCTTGGCCAGTAGGAATCGCGTTACTAATCTGCCGAGCGTTGCCGTTCCAGGCTTAAGGTCCCGTTTACAAGTCTCGTAACCGACGCCGTAACTGTCGTCGTAATGGTTATTCCCCCGGTGGCGTGCGACGTGGTCTTAATCGTCAATAACACCACCCGGCCACGCTGCTCGAGATTAGCCACCTCTTTCCTGTATTGTCGCTCTACTTCCGGGCCCACTCGGCGGTCCATCCTCGAGTGTGTCAGAGGAGTCGTCGTCGTTTCGTCTTGCGAAACTTCTCACAAGTTGCAGAAAAATAAGATCTTCGAAGAATTGGATTTCAGGGTCAACTGCGACCCTCGTCAGGTTGTTGCAGATGAAATGATCGTTTCAATACACCTTGATCAAGTCTTCGAGAACGTTTCCTACTTCGGTTTCGTTTTAAAATTTTTGTACGTCACTTGATAGTGAAACAGTTGACGAACCACCGATAGTTTTGCTCTTGCAACATGCAGCATATGCAACAACCTAACAGCAGGTTGCAGGACTCGTTCGAGATCCTCAGACGTATCTCAGAACCCCGGAGGCTACGAGAAATTCTCAATTTCAAAGGGAACTTAACCACGAACTTGACAAAATTCCTCGCAACAGAAATCTTCTTAGCCTTCGTCAACCATAGTCACACGCGTTCAGAGGTGTGAATCCTCTCGATGCAAAAGACATCTCTTCCCAGTCATCCCAACCCAACTCTTTCTTCTTCTTCAATTCGATCCGGTGAATCTATCACCGAACGAAAGAAAGAAAGGGTTACACACCGGCGTATTTCCTCGCGGAAGGCGGCGTCGCCGTGACGTAAAAGCCGTCGACCACAGCCACGCTCGACAACGAAAAGAGACAGACAATACCGACAGGCGCCACGGTAGGGGGATAGGGTGCGAATAAGGGTGTGTAGCGGGAGGGAAGAGGCGGTGGAAAGAGAAAGAGAAGGAAGGAAAGAGAGAAAGGGATAGAGGAGGCCGAGAGCCAAGTTATAAAACTGGGCAACAAGCCAATTGACATGCCAGTTGGCCTGCAACCACCGCTGGCTGCGGAAGCCAGCCCCCGGAGCCCGTATCCATATTAATATTCCAACGATGACGTCCGATCGTTATTTGTGAGTGCAAAGTGCTTTCCTCTTTCGTGGATCATCTATTTTCTTTGAAAAGAGAGAGAAAAAAAAAAGGAAGGAAGGAAGGAAGAAACGGTTGCACCGAGTGAATACCGAGGGCTAAATAGTAGAAGTGGTACACGCTGGTTTGAAGCCGAAGGGGTGGTGTTTGGTGAGGGAAAAAAACAAAAGGGAGACGCGAATCGAAGCCCACGGACGATGGTAACCCGCGTCGAACGTGTCTAAACAAGAATCCACTTTGAACGCGACGCTTAATAAACTTTTTTACCCTTTGTACCGGCTCTACCGCCGTAGCCGCAATTCGTGCAATTTCCTCGATCCTGCTGGCGATTTCACGGAAGCGTGACGGGTTAATCGACTGCCCCTTTTAACCTCGTGACTTCGTTCCGATTCGCGAAAAGAAGGGGGGGCAAAAAAAAAAAGAAAAAGAAGAAGAGAGAGTATGTGATTTAAAGCGTCAGACAGAAAGAGTATCCAAGTGTCTAGCTAGTTGAAACAAAATTAGCGTTACTTGTTATCCTCGGCAATACAGTGATAAAAACGAATAAGGTGTTTTGTGTGGTAACTGGTGATCAAAGAGGAAAATAAGAAAGTGTTGGTAGCGTATTGATAAATGTTGGTGGAGTTCTTGGATTACCAGATCGCGGGGCTCTAATTCGAAGGACGTTGAGTAAAGAAGTGTTAGAAGATAGAGAGGGATCCACGAGGTTACCACTCGTCCGTGGGATGGAAATGGGGATATATCGTCGTCTCGAGCCGCCGCTTTGTCTCGTGTCTCCCCCGTTTCCACCTCTAATTGCACCGAACCTTTTTCGCTAAATTTATTCCTCGAACGACGCTACTCCGGATGCTACTCGAGAGGATAGGAGAGATCTCAGCGGAGAAGTAACGCGAAGCAACCCCCGAACCCGGGCCGCCTCGCCTCGCCTCGCCGCGCCGCGCCGGCAAAACTCTGTTCTCGCTCGCTTTCGTTTGTAATCAATCGCCTTATCCGCCGACCCTCTTCCATCTGGAGGGTGCTCGAATAATAATATCCCGAAAAAGTTGGCAGGCGCTCGTTGAAAATTGCACGACACAGCCTCGAAAATCCTGCTGCTGCTACCGCTGTGGCTG